CTATTTTTTCAGGTACAGTGGCATGCTGGCTCCTAAAAGCCCATGTGGTTTTTTTTTAAATTGGTCTATTTATGTGGGGTTTTACCATATATGCTTGATTTGAAGGCCTATAATGCTATGTTTTGCAACTAATTAGCGTTATAAAAAGAGCATTTTATCAGCATTGACATTGTTGCTTAAAAAAAATTAGTAATGATAGATTTAAAAGAAACGTTTAGGAGAAATTAAAAAAATCAATGGGTAATTTTTGAGAATGTAGAAAAATAAATGAATAATTTTTATTGCGCGATGGGTAATTAACTAAAATTGGTAAAACAATATTTTTGCTAAAAACAATTTAATTGCTAAAACAATATAATTGCTAAAACAATATAATTGCTAAAACAATATAATTGCTAAAACAATATAATTGCTAAAACAATATAATTGCTAAATACAATATAATTGCCAAAAACAATATAATTGCTAAAACAATATAAAAAAAAATATTTTGTTGAAATTTAGAAAGATTTAAAAGCACAAATCGGATTTTTTTTTTTTAGTTAAATTTGTTTTGAAATCACTTATTTAAATGACTTTTTACATGATAACTTGAATTTTAAAAAAGCTTTAATTACTCTATCAGCTATTTCTTTTGTAAGTGGAATCTGTTCAAATAGCATAATTTATTTTTTGATAATCAATTAATGATAAATAATTTTTTTTTCTTTTTTCAAAAATAGATTTAATAGAAAAACGTTTTAGAAAAATAAATTTTTAAATCATTCTGAAAATATTTTGATAACAAGGTCAGATAACAAACTTTAGATTTCAACTTAAGGCATTGTTTCAATTCATTGGTTATATAGTAATTATATAATCTGGTGGTCGGGAAAACAAGCCAACCACCAGATTATACAAATATATTATTAATACTTGAATTTTCTTTAACTTACAACAATTATTAAAAGCAATTTATGTCATGTAATAATAGTTTTTTTTTGCATTTTTGCATTTTTACATTGATATTTTTGAGGCTGATAATCTCAGATAATGTTTGCATTTTTAATGCAAAATGCTAATATATTCAGTGAAGAACCCAGACGTGTTTTAGTACTGTTTTACAGGTATGAGCGCCCAAAAAAGAGCGCCCAAAAATTAATTTTATTTTTAATTTTTCTTTTGATTTTTAAGAAAAATAGAAAAAAAAAATTAGTTTTAAATTGAGTAGTATATAAATAATTCTCAGTTTAATTTAGCTGCCTCATTTTTTCTTCAGGAAAATAAAAAGAATTAAAAAGAAAGAAAATTGAAGAAAATTGTCCAGCACGATGTTTCGCACCTGTAAAACTCAAATATTTTTTTAGCGAGCACTATTATGCGTGCTCGTCATTAAGTTATTGGGAGCAATCTTTTATTTTTAGATATTGGTGTTCCACACAATTTTATTAAGTTTTAATTTGTTACACAGTTTTCTTTAGACGATAAATATTTTAAAATTATTATTTAGCAGCGCATTGCCTGACAAAACGTAAAATTCTTTCGACTTCCTAAATACTAATTTATTATTTGATCGCATCTGATTGTGTTTTTTTTCCCACCTAGTTCTTAATGCTCTTGTTTTAAAGAATAAATTTATCTTTTATTTATTTTCTTTGTTATTGTCTTCATCTTTAACTTAATACTATAGTCAATTTTTTTTATTATTACATCGAATTTATTTGAAAAAAGTTCATAAGCTTTCATTTTTTTTATTGTTTCATTTGTTTAATTAAAATATAAACTCACAATGTTTTCGCATTATTAAAACATTAAAACAATGAAATAACGATCTCTTTTCGTTAAAACATATTTAATGGCTTTTCGTTGCTAACACTAATATAAATTTTATAACAAACGTTTTCACAAACTTAAACTTTTCTTTTTCTCAAATAAATTTATAATTTTAATTAAGTTAAAAATAATATAGGTTATAATTTTAATAACAAATGCTTTTTAAATTTACTTAAATTTTGGACGAAAACATTTTATTTAAATAATAACTTATAAAATTCTATAAAGATTTGTGAAAATTTTTTTCTATTAACATTGGGCTATAAACTCAAAGAGCAATTAAAATTTTTAGTATTTTTGAGTTTAGTTTAATTTTTTTTTCGAATAAAAAACTTATTATTATACATATGATTTTTAGCAAATGGGTTTACAAAATTAAATTAACGTTTTTAATAATTAATTTTTATTTATTACACAGTTTAATATTATTAATAAACTTATATAAATAAATAAAATTTTAGTTTCTTTAAATGTTTGCTGTTAACGTTTTATATAAAAAAGTCTCATTCACAAATCACCATTCATTTTTCGTAGAAATTAGTGCTCAACAGAATGACATAATTTAACGTGAAAAAATGAGTTTTTTCAATTGAAGTATAACTTGAATGCAATTAAAGATATGTGAATAGAGATTATTTTGTTTTTAACAATAAGCAAACTTTTTTATCTTATTAAACAAGAATCTTTCACTAAAAACTTTTTATAAAATAAATTTAATATAAAATCAAGTAAACCATTATTAGTTTTCTCCCTCCCATAATTTTAGGACGAGCAGGTTTTTAGTTGAAAAAATTTAAAAATGTGCTTAAGGCAAAGATTTTGTTGCATTTCTTATTTTGAACAGATTTAATGTAAACCTTAACTTGAATAGAGATTAAAAAAAGGTTAATGTTTTTTAATTAACATGTTTCTCCTCTAAATGTGATTAAAATAACTATACCATGTGATTAACATAACTATACCAGGACTTAACTTAATAGACTTTCTGATCTCAAAGTTCAATAAACTGTAAACATGTGATTAACATAACTATACCAGGACTTAACTTAATAGACTTTCTGATCTCAAAATTCAATAAACTGTAAACATGTAGATGAAAGGTTTTAACTAATAATATAAATTAATATTATATTTTAAAACTTCATAAAAAAATAATCCAGTGAAAATTTTGAGTAAAAAGGTGTGAGAACAACAGACATTTAAAATGTAATTTTCATTAACTTTTAAATGAATTAATAACCTTGCTCTGGTTAAATAAATTAGAGAGAAAACAAAAAAATGAATTGAAAAAAAAAATGAATGATTTTTTTTCAATTAATTTAAAAAAATAAAACTTAATTATATACAATAAATAAATATGAACTTATAATGAATGAATATTACATTATATATATATATATATATATATATATATATATATATATATATATATATATATATATATATATATATATATATATATATATATATATATATATATATATATATATATATATATATATAGCTCTCGTCTACACTGCCCTAGAATGGTTTATGGGAGCAATTTACGGCTCTTGCAGAAGTTTAATTTTTCTCACGAAAGTATAATTATCATTGTTATTAAAATAAAAAATACAATAACATTTATAAAATAACTAATTGCATAATATACTGCAATGCTTTTTAAAAAGCACGGTTGTTGCAAAAAAAAAATTAAAGTTAAAAAGAGCGCCGATTTATATGAGGAGCATATAAATCAGCTAATTTTACTTTTAAAGTAAAACTGTATATACTTATTATATAACTTACTATCTTTTTTTGCAGGCAATCATAAAGCATCCTGTGCAGTTGCAAGGTTTTTCTCTTAAGGTAATATTAATTATATAATTCAAGAATCTTAAAATATTGAGATCAGAGTGCATTTTTTATTAGTTTACAGTTTGAGAATCACTAGAAGGGTTTGAAAATTTTTTGAATAAATATATATCACTAGTTCCACAAATTGAGTTCCTTAAAAAAAATTAAAATGTTTGTTAACCTTAGCAATTACATTGAATGGTTCTGATTGAAAAGTTACTTTAGTTATGAGCTATAATATATTCTTTTACATTTTAAGATATAAAAAAGTAAATAAAATAATTGGTTCAAATAATGCTTACAATAATTTAATTTGAAAATAATAACCCATTAGCAGATTATATGTAAGAAAATTTTAAGAAATTAAAAGTTTAGCTTTACTAAAAATGCAAATCTATTGAAACTCTAGAAAAGACTTTTATATTATCAGGGACAAACCTATTATATTGCTAGAAACCTATTGTATTGTTAGAAACCTATTGTATTGCTAGAAACCTATTGTATTGCTGAAACCTATTGTATTGCTAGAAACCTATTTTATTGCTAGAAACCTATTGTATTGCTAGAAACCTATTATAGTATTGCTAGAAACCTATTGTATTGCTAGAAACCTATTGTATTGCTAGAAACCTATTGTATTGCTAGAAACCTATTATAGTATTATAGTATTGCTAGAAACCTATTATAGTATTGCTAGAGCGGTAAAAAAAAAAAAAAAAAAATTCTTTTTCTTTGTTTTTTTTAAAATAGAAAAAAAGTTTTCAGTTTTAAACGCAGTATATAAATGTTTTAAATTTAGTATATAAATAATGTTCTGTTAATTTTAGCTACCTCATTTTTTTTCAGGTCAATAAAATGTATTAAAAAGAAATAGTTTTTTTACGTATTTACCTGATGACATTAGTTTTAAAAAGATAATTGTCGTTACGAAACTTAATTAAATTAATTTTGAAAACAATAATTGAAAAAATTTGTAGCGAAATTTTATAACAATGGAATGTATAAAAAATTTGCTATTTCGAAAGATAGAGTGATTTTAAAATATCCATTCAGTATAAAGTTAACTTTTTTTTTGGCAATAATAAAAGCAAACTTTTTTGGCAATAATAAAGAGTAAACTGCTTTTGATAATAAATGAACAAAAGTAAAAAATTTCAATCTCAATAAATATCTCTCAAATTTAGTTTTTGAATGAACTTTTGATCTTTAGCTTGCTATTTTAGTTTACGTGAGGAAAATGTAAAAAACAAAACCTAAAATTTTTCAGAAAGTTTTCCATTCTTTTTGACTTTTAAAATAATAAATATAATGATTACTATAACTTAATATAGGTTTTATTAAGATCTGTTTAAAGTAACCCTTAGTAAATGTAACTTATTTATTAAACGTAATTTTTTTTACTTAATGATTAAAAAAAAAATTAAATATTTTTAAAAATAGGGTAGACCAGGGTGATTTTGACATGAGGTCGATTTCGCCACTTAATATTTCAAGAAAAAGATGTTATTTTGGCATAACAACATATAAGGATGATGTAAAATATTTATTATTTTAAAATTATAACCTTATAACTATTGATTGATCATAGTTGCCGTCTAATTTGATTGGTTGTTATAAATTTTAAATAAGATTTGCTGTTTAATATTAATAATTGATATTATTGTGTCACTCTTGCTCCAAGTAACATTATTATTAATTTTGTGAAATTCATTGAAACTACATTTGAGAACAACTGCTAAGGTGAGAGCTTCATAAATTTGTTAAAACTATTTAACTGGCGTTCTTAATATATATTTTAAATAGTTTATGGTCCAAGTAGAATATTGTGGGATGATTTTTCCACCAATGATAAAACAGTCCCACAGTTAAAAATGTGTTTAATGTTTTATAATTTAACATTATAGTTCTCCTAAATTTTTGTATTTGAAAATGTCAATTGTTCCAATTGAATGCATTTCTTATATTCGCATTTCTTATCAATAAATGCTCACCATCGCTGATTGTTCATAGCCACTATATCGATTAGCATGTTTAAAATACACCATTATAAAATCCAAGCATCGATATTTAAAAAGATAGTTTTTATGCCAATCTGTAATAATTATCTTGTTGCATTTTTACCCTAAGTGCTTAAATCTAAAACTCGCAGTACATTATCAATGTTCAGATGGTACGTAAGTATCTCCCAAAGAAAAAGAAATCCTATAGTAATACCAACTTCCAATAGGCTATTCAAGCCCTTAAAGATGGCAGTAAAATATTAACAGCAGCAAAAACATGGCGTACCAAAATTAACGCTGAAAGATAAATGGATATCGACAATCAAGCTCTATGGGAAGAAAAACAGTGTTTATAAAGCAGCAGAAACAAGCACTAGTAAACTGGCTTTTTTACATGGCAGATTGTGGTTTTCCATTGACAACAAAGTAGTTGAGGTATAATGCTTATTTATATGCTAAAAAACTACATCTTTGTTAAATACTTCAAAAAGATTTGCCTACTACATGGCATAAATCTCACTTAGATTACTTACTTATATAAAAAATAGAAAATCTCTGGATGTGTTTTCCAATCCAGGTGACTCAAAGAAGAAAAAGTTCTCCATCAAACAAAAAAAAGCAAGTGGCTCATGAAAGAAAAGGAATATTTGCCTAATCAAATAAAGGCATATGGCTCAAAGGAGATGTAATCCCATAGTTTAAAATCATAAATTAAATCAAATGCTACTGAGTACATCAAAAGCTTATAACAGAAACATCAAAAAATAAATTACTGCTGTATGTTGGGTGTGGCATGGGTGGATTCATCAGAAGACTGGCTCTAATTCATTTCTTGTCCTATATGGGCATGTGAAGTCTGCTTTTGCATCAACATGTGCACAGAATATGCTTAATTCAACAAAATATAATAAAGCTTTGACTCTTTTTACATTGGCGAAATTGCCCCATAAAAGTTTGTTGTACAAATCGGTGTTCATGAGTATAAGTAATTTTTTTTTTTTTTGAATTTTTAAATGTGGTTGAACTAAATATAGTTTATTCAATATAATTCAGTTAATGGTATACAAAAAAAGCGTATCAGGTTGAACAGACAACATTAAAGCAGCAAAAGTGGCGAAATCGCCTGGTTCTATCCTATAATATGATTTTTAAAATATATTATGTTTTTTAATAAAAAAAAATGATATTTTTAAAATTATATTTATCGTAATTATCTCTTCTTTAATTATCTTTAATTTTAAAGGCGCCTTAAAATCACTTTAAAAATTATTAACTTTTAGTAAAAGTTAAATGAACCTTTTTGCCACTCTTTTTTTTTAAGTAAGCATCTGTTTAAAAGTCAGATTATACAAATGAAAAAATTGATGAAAATGAGAGCATGTTCAAAAATTGCTTTAAAATTTTTTTTGTAAAAAATTTTAGTTTGCATTTTTTTGGTAGCATGCATTTTACCACACTCCAAAAAGTATAGTATATCCTGACTTTTACAAAGGGAGTTGCATGTGATTGCATGCCGTTCCTAGGGAGGTTATTTACAATGAATGCTTTTTTTTATTAAGTGTTGCAATTTATAATACTATTGTGTATGATTTTTTATTAGGAATTTCACATCGCGGTGTATACTTTTAGTTAGTTGTTTAAATCTTACAACACTGCAGCATATGTTTTAATTAGGTGTTTAAATCTTACAACACGGCAGCATATGTTTTTAGTTAGGTGTTTAAATCTTACAACACTGCAGCATATGTTTTTTAACTAGGTGTTAGAATTTTATTTCAAAGAGCGAAGTTTTCTACTAAAGTGCATTAAACATCTCATAATCAACTGGCAAAATGAACTGTGTTTGTTTCATGTAAGTTTTTGTTATATTTATTTATTTTTTAAAAAAATTATAAAAATTAAAAATTTTAAAATTTAAATTAATATTTAATAAAGAATAATGACTATTAAATAATTCCACTGTCAACTCAAATCAACTAATTCTAAAGTCAACTAAAATCAACTAATAAATTTTGAAATCAACTAAAAGTTTTTAAAGTCAATTAGGCGAAGTATCGGAATTTATAATTAATAGTTTATTTTTTTGAAATAAATTTTAATAATATAATAAACTAATTCATATTTGTTTTCTATTTTTTAATATCATATTGTCTAAATAATAATGGAGCAAAACAATATGAGAGAAGGGCTGCTCCAATAAGGGGACAATCTGTTCCCAGACCCCAATGATTTAGGGATCCCTTTAAGTACTTACTACAATGATATATTATATACATTAGATGCCTAACTTTGATCCAAAAAGTGAAGCCCCTTTTGCCCTAATTAGAAATGGCTTCCACATCATTAGCAATATAATATTTTGCCATTTTTACAAATCTAGTATATATATATATATATATATATATATATATATATATATATATATATATATATATATATATATATATATATATATATATATATATAAATATATATATATATATATATATATATATATATATATATATATATATATATATATATATATATATAATATATATATATATATATATATATATATATATCTATATCTATATATATATATATATATATATATATATATATATATATATATATATATATATATATATATATACATATATATATATATATATATATATATATGTATATATATATATATATATATATATATATATATATATATATATATATATATATATATATATCTATCTATCTATCTATCTATCTATCTATCTATCTATCTATCTATCTATCTATCTATATATATATATATATATATATATATATATATATATATATATATATATATATATATATATATATATATATATATATATATATATATATATATATATCATTGACTTGCTATAAATCAAAAGTAATTACAATCATATTTACAATGTGATTGTATAGATGACATTTAGAGGTTGCTTCACAACTTTTAATCCAAGCTGACTTAACCCCCCTCTACCAGGGCCCCAAACAGTCCTGTATGAAAGTGTTTATGAAAATCACTAGCATCGAATAATCCAATGAAAATCACTAGCATCGAATAAACAAAAAAATAAATAAAATAAAATACATAATCGAAAGGTTTATTAGGATGACTAATGCTAACATGCTATGAATAATCTTTAGATAAAACTTTAATCAAAAAACTTTGAGTTATAATATTATTGTTATTAAATGAACAAACAAAAATTAAAGGTTGACAAATTTAATCAAATGAAAAGATATGCAGCTTTTTGGAAGCGAAGATTTTGAAAAAAAAAAAAAATAATAATAATAGTACAAAAATATAATACAAAAAAACTCAAAAATCTAAAAAAAAACAAAAGTTTGGGCCATTTAGACATTTAGACACTACATCTGAATTATGAAAAAATGAAAAAAATAAAAATGATAAACTTTGCAGATTCATAAAATATAAATAATTATAGAAAAAAATCTAGACTGAAGATTTTTTTTTTTTTAAATCTTTTCAAAATCCCAATTGCTTGTCCAAATTTAAATAAGATTTAAAATAAATACATTTTTTCAGGTGAAATGAACATCTTAGTTTAATAATATGATCTGTTCTGATCGTTTATTAGCAATTTTTTTTTTTAATTAAAAGCTCTTTCTTGGTCGAAATTATAGTGCTTTTTGTGAAAATTGATAGAAGTATTGTATTTTGACAACTATATACAGATAATATACGTCAGTACTGATAAGAACTAGGATCTGTAGTAAATTAAGGCACTTTTTCAAAAGATTTTAATCAAATTCATGTTAATGCCGATGTGTGAAAGTGATCTATAGACTATAAAATGGTGTTCTTTAGATTCATTATTAGGAGTAGTAAAAAGGTTTTAATAGTTATATAAAAAAAGAAAAGATTCTTCAAATATTGAAAAAACCTGAAGCAAAAAGAATTATTATGTCTAAAGCTTTTGTTTGAACATAATATGCTTATAAAATCATGCTAATTTCAAATAAAACAATTCAAATAATTTGTAAATTGTCTTAACTACACCGAGTTATTATATGTAGCATTAATTTCTTGGGGTTTTTTTATCAAATTTATTTTTTCCTTTCATTTTTTCCTTTTATATTTGGCATAAAAACAAAGTCAAAGCATGATGTTCTTTTCTTCATTACCAACTGTACCTTTCCTTAACTTGAAGCTTTGCCTCAGTGGGGCAAGCAACAAAATTATTTTTTCAGACAATATAATAATGGTTAGTTGCTCCATTAGGAAGATTAAAGTGTTAAAATTAATAATAATTAGTTAAAGTGGTGTAGATAAACATATATTTTTTAAAATTATAATTGACTTCCAACAAGGCTGCAAGCAGCCTCGTCTAAAAAAGCAAGAGCATCATTGGAAAAGCCATCCCAAATATACTAACAGTATTCCATACAGGGACAAATAAGAGATTTGTAGAGGTATTATTTGTAGAGCATGGCGAGCACAATAATTATAAGCAACCTTAGCAGATGCTAATTTAGAAATCGATTATATATATGGTTTCCATGAAAGATTAGCAGTAAACGATAATTCAAGAAGACGTAAAGAATACTCAGTGAGAGCGTTGTCATTCATTAATATGGGAATATGGACAGTATTGCTATAGTTGTTTGCATTAAATAACTGAGTTTTGTTGGAGCTAAAATTCACAAGCCACTGCGAAGCACAGTCTGGTACAGATGTGAGATCAAATTCAAGATTGGCTGTCTGTTCTAAGTGATCGAAAAGAGAAGAGTTTTTTTTAAGACAGGAGTATAAAGTTGAGCAAATTGAGCCACTTTAGATATCAGGAAGATCATTAATGTAGATAAAAAAAAACAGGACCAAGGATAGAACCTTGCGTTACCCCAGAAGTCACTGGAAATAAAGAAGAGTGTAATAAAGCAGTTAGAAATAAAAGATTTAATAATCTCAAAAACTTTCCCATATGCAGCATATGAAGCAAGCTTATGGAGAAGACCAGATTGCAAAACTTTATCAAAAGTTTTAGATATTGCGAGAGCAACAGCCTTAGCCTTGCCACCTCTATCTAATCCATGATAAAATCTTTCAGTCACAACAGTTAGGCATAGAATAATAAGATCGAAGATTGTAATGATTAAATACAAGTAAGCTATTTGATGTGGGATGTTAAAAATTTGTTAATCAAAGACTGCTAATAATAGAGAGAAAACTGATTGGATAATAGTTAGAGGGGTCAAAATATTTTCCAGAGTTTTTTAAAATTGGAAAATTAAAACTGAATTTTAATTTCCTGCCTGCCATTTTCAAGCAGGCTGGAAATTAAAATTCAGTCAAGCACATAAAATAGTTTAGAGAGATAACTGAAAAGAGTTTTGGAGAACATTTTTTAAGGACTATTGCAGGAATGTTGTCTGGATCAGAAGTCATAGAAGAGTTTAATAGAGATTTTAGCAATGGAAACTGGAGTGATTTGAATGTCTAATATTGGGTAACCTGTTTAACTGGGATAGCAGGAAGATTATGGTCTAAAAAAAAGGAATGTTACCTTTGTTAATGATGCTGTTGAAGATTTTCCAAAAGTCTCTAAAACCTAACATTCTGAGATATGATTACTAGGAATAATTTTGCATCAAAGTATCTAGAGCCTTTCTTTTGAGATCAGATACAAGGTTTTGTATACTGTAAATAATGGAGCTTAGTATCAGACAGCACCTTTTTACATTGATCCAGGAGGTTATGTAGCAGGCACATTTATTTACAGACAGAGAAGACATCAACTCAAGGGCTATCATGAAGAAAATCACGAAAGTTAATCCCAGCCAGCTTTATGGTATTAGTAATTAGTGAAATGATAGAGTCTGAAGAAGAAGTCCAAGATCAAAGATTTGTAGAGATAATTGCATAATCAGAACCACCTAAAGGAGAACAAGGAGAAACTGAACACAAGCTAGGGTCAGAGACAAGACACAAATCAAGGAGTGAAGGTAAGTGATTAGAGTTATCTGAAAAAGTCACAAAGTTGACTATCTGAGTATGGGATTGAGAAATACAGAAGTTTGCTTTAATGAAATTAATATCAGTAGTTTCTGCTGCCAGAAAATCGGCTTTGAAAATGTTTGAAAAACATTTTCCTTAACTGGCCATATGCCTGCTTTTTAGAAGCCATTTTTGACATTTGTCATTGTATCAGCTTCTAAGTAGGCTAAGCCTAAGGTGAAGCTATTTGAAATTAAGTGATTACGCATCCATGATTTGTTCTTAACAAGGCCTTCTTAAACAGGCCGCGACAGCTCATTTTCCGTAAAATTAGCGAAGGCCGATTTTTTTACGGAGAAGTATAGTTTCAATGAGGATTTTGGTTGTTTGATTTAAACTATAATAGTTAAACTCGTAAAATGCCTAATAAATGCTGCGTTTATGGTTGCTCCTCAAATTACAAATCAAAAGTAAAAGATAATGTTAATGTCACAATGTATAGATTCCCCCTTTAAATCCGGGGATCGCGAGTTATGGATTAAAAAACTTCTAAATGCAAACTTTGTGTTTACAGATTATAAGCGAATTTGTGCTCAGCACTGGCCTAAAGATGCAGAATTAAAAAGAGTCAAAGGTGGTAGTTTTGTTCCAGTGCATCCTCCATCAGTCTTTAAAGGTATACCAGTGTCTTGTATTCCAATAGTTTCTAGAAAACGAGATGTCACTGGGTTGATATGACTGGGTTGATATGCTCTGAAACTTTCAGAGCATATCAACCCAGTCATATCAACCCAGTGACATCTCGTTTTCTAGACACTATTGGAATACAAGACACTGGTTCTTTCATATTTCAATATATTTCTTTCAGTGAAAAAAATATT